TCGACAGTAACAACATCACCGCCAAGTTCGCCGCATTTAATTCTTCCACCACCATTATCACCGTTACAACATCCAATAAACTATCTGAGACAACAGTTGGGGCAATCATCATCGCCATCAACTGCTGCACCTGAATTCACATCATTAACAGCCACCAGCGAAGCATATAGCGGTATAGAAATAGATCGAAAAGGGAGCACGGCATCCAGACGATCGCAGAATACGCTTTCGGTCATGGATAAATTTAAATTTGGACTTCATCCTGGTGGTGGAAGTAGTGGCGGTGATGATAATGAGGATTACGAGGAATTAGTGAATAAAGATAGTGTAGGCGGCGGCAATGTCAAAAAGAAGGTGTCGAGAATAAGTATTAAAAAAGGTGGAGATGGCGAAGGAGGTGGATACGGAAGTGAAGATGATGATTCAAGTGGAAGTATAAGTCCGATAGAATAATTTTTATTTAAACCTGATTATATCATATTTACATTATTTGATTATTATAACTTTTTTTGTAAGATATTTTTTTTCCCCAGCCAAAAAAAAACCTCGATCAAAAAAAGTGTTTTACACATTAATTACATATCAAACATGCACATTATTTTCTTCGAACAATTGTATTTATTCTTTTTGTAAAGACATCTACTTATTATTACCACTACTTATATTTTTACCACGATTAGCAGCAATTTTCGCCCAGAAGCGATTATACTAATGTCATGAGTTGGAATGGAATCTGTGTTGATTCTGATAATAACAATTTACAAGTTCCAATTACCAACAATATATTACTGGTTTATTTATTATTTTTCTTGCTTCTAATTTTATGTTTTGAGGTTTCCTCTCCTATTCCTCTGATTGTTTTTAATTCGTAATCCTGACAGTATTGACATTTATCATGTCATTAGCTATGCGGACAACATAAAAGGTAACAATGATCTAAAGATACCTTAAAACACAAGTTATAAACCTATGTCTGCAGCAAATTCAGCGCGGCTGGAAAATGTATATAAAAATCCCTGAAGTATTCACAATCTACCACGATGCAGTTTTCTTGTAACGAATCCAAAGAATTTGCCGTCCTTGATCCGTTTATACAAATAAAAGGACCCAGTTTTTAATGAGATTCTCCTGCAAATGAATTCTGCAATGTATTGAATGCTTGTTTAACTTTATTGTATTCAGTCTTCAACATCTTCTCATCTAAGATTTGAGATCTTTGTGTTGTGACATCTGAAGATTTGGCTTGAATGGCAAAAAGGTAATCACCCAGAAAAAAAGAGATACCATGTGCACTCGCACAATTCTTATACACTGTGCCAGGTGAAAAGTGTGAATCCAGTACCGTGTCAGGATACCGAAATTTAAGTTACTGATATTGTATTGAATCTACATTAGGAAGCTGAAATGTACAATGTGAATAATAATCAATACCAACTGCACCTCTAAAGAGCTCTTTTATTGTTACTGGTTTATTTAATACTGAAAGAAGCTGAAGACGTAAGGTCCAGAATCGCATGTTGAAATCTTCAAACGACTGCCAGTAAACATGTGTTTTCTGTTCAATCATAACACCCCAAAAGTTACCCGATATTTTGTTGTATGATTCTAATATCCACACCCACATGTATGGCATACGAACATAAAAGTCAGTATGTGTTAGTTCCAAATTTAAAACACCATGTGATGAAAGATCAATGTAAGTTAATCGCCCATCTACATCAGCTTCATCATCCTCTCTCACGGGAATGTTAAGAATAGCATGTACAATTGCCGGTGTTATGATATTTGCATATGTCTTAAATGGATATAGTTCTATAAGTAAATCCTTAACTTTTGACATTATATACACATAATCTACGTGGTTTGTTTTTTTGCCTAACTTGATTTGACAAAATGGAATAGAATAGCTCCAGAGCTCGAATCTGATCACCAAGCTCACTAATACAGCGGCGAAAAGTATTCCTATTAATATATTCTGTTAAATCTTCGGAATCAGCAATATTTTTACTAATATTCCACACCTCCTCATTCCGAAAAAGACGAAGTGGTAGACGTAAATAAAGAAATTTTAATTCTCTGAACATTTCTTGAAGAGGACCTTGATTGGCCAATTGAGAGCCCATAACAGTCTTTGCCGCACATTTTTCAAACCATATGATCCATCAGATATAAATAGTTGTAGAGTATTCGCAGTGCAACTGATGTTTGACCAATGTGCACATCTTCCTCTGATGTGTAAGAACCATCGTCAAAGATAACATTGATAGTGAACATCCAATTTTCGATTGAATCCAGAAGTGCATTGTCATTTGTATATTGTCGAGCTTGGCTGCGTAGTAAAGTTGGCCATTCCTCGAGAAATCGGCTCTTTCCTGCACTTGGTCTATTAGCCAGATGGGAATATGATGGTTGTTTCGGTCTTTTGCCATGCGTTTTCAAACCTTTGGCAAATTCCATTCTTTCCTACACGATCTTTAAATAAGGTTTCCATTGTTCCAGTGAGTTATGCTACAGAACTACTCAAGCCATTTAATTGGATGTTGTAACGGTGATAATGGTGGTGGAAGAATTAAATGCGGCGAACTTGGCGGTGATGTTGTTACTGTCGA